AACAAGCAAAATTAAGCCCTTAGACCCCCCCCCCCCCACCCACACACCCCAACAAAATCCGTTTCTCTTTCTTTTTTTTTGTTATTTTTTAATACCATCTAAAGGAAACAATATGTGCTTCTAATTCTTTTAATGCTTACATAATATTTGGTATTATATATCATACAAACAACTGTATTATTTTCTCCTTCTCACACGTAGGGGTGTTCGTAGGTCAATATAGTATGATTTTAACATGTTTTGATTTGATAGATTTTTTAAATGCTATATTAATATCATATGTAATTAAATTTGATATGATTCAATCTTTTTCTTTTCAATTTGTTCGTTTTGATATCTTCAATTTGGATATGAACTTCTTTAGTTAAGATGTAAATAAAATTTAACAAGACCCTGATTTAACTAAAGCCTCATTTGTTTGCACTTAATGGAGGTTTGAATCTCAATAATTCAGACATTAGCCCATTAAGTGCGTTTGTTTTTTTACTTGAAAATCTTTTAATGAGTCTGAATAAATTAGATTTGTGATAGAGTCTTATTCTCATTCAGGCCCTTTTAAAGACACTTTTATTTTCAGAAAAAAATTGTGCTCCATATTTTTCCTCTCAAAAAAAGTTCAAGTCTCTTTCATTCTCCAACTTTATTAATTATACAAATTATTTTCCTTAAACTTTTAATTTTTGTTCTTGCTACTTGTTTATCAAGAATTGATCAAATTTATTATAATTCTTTTATTTGATTAAAGTGCAAAACAACTTCATAAATATGTTTTGTTGAAATAAAAAAAAAGATGACTACATTTTTTGGGAAAAGGGTTTGAAATATATCCGAACTTTGACCAAAATTGTTGTAACAATACCGAACTTTGGAAATGACCTTTTACCCCCTTCACTATTTAATAGTGTATTTTAAAGGTATATATGTGTCCACGTGGACACGCTACTATTTATAATGATGCAATATTTATGATGTCCACGTGGGCACATATATACCTTTAAAATACACTATTAAATAGTGCAGGGGGGTAAAAGGTCCTTTCCAAGTTCGGTATCATTACAACAATTTTGGTTAAAGTTCGGTTATATTTTAGACCTTTTTCTCCAAAAATTTCTAACAATCATTTTTATTATTATAATTTATATCAATAGTCTACGTAGTTCCATTTCATTTTGTCAAAATTAAAATATTTATTTATAATTTAAATATCTTGACATTTATCAAAGAATTAATTTTTTGTCTAATATTTTGTTAATGTAATATTAACTTCTATTTTTTGAATCATAATATTTATTTTGCTTACAGATTAATAAACACATACACACACACTTATATTCAGTCAGCAGATCTATAGACAAGATCTTAATTATTCATATGTGCATTTAGATGTCTTAATCTTAATGAAAACAAATTATGCCTAATACTAAAAAGGAAATTTGCCACCAAGTCAGTATTCCCCCTGAGTCCAAGCCAAGTTTACGAAGACATTGAATTCTTGTAACTAAATCGTTTATTTTGAATGACCACCCCTAAGGAGTGTGATGAAATGGATATATAAAATCTTTTTACCTTAACGTTTAATTTGAACCCTGAGAATGGAAAATTAGAAAAAAAAATGCTTTCCTTTTTGAGTTTTACATGATGCAAATCCCAATCAACCAAACTAATAGGTTTGGATACAATCTGGTTATAATAAAATACAACTAAAAAGGGAAGGACATATGGGTGATCTATTTTTGTGGTACATTTATATACAATACTTGAAACATCAATATTAACGTTAGATACATATAAAGACAGAAATGAAAAATGACAAAAAGAGTTAGAAATAATTAACATCCTCATAAAAATGATTTCAAATTAATTATCCGTTTATACATAAATTATGAATTGCTATCACTCATCATGTACAAAATATTTACAAGCTTGTACCCTCAT